CTGTGGTGCTGCTCAGACTGATCCATAGCATATCCAACTGTACGTGCAATTGGCCAAAATCAGCTACAGCAGTCCTGTAAGAGTCCAAGCACCCAGAATGATCACAGGGTCTGGGTGATAATTCTGCTGCCAGCAGAGAATTTGTCATGTTAAAAAACCCACCTAGCTTAAGGAAGTGTAATAGGGAGGAATTGCCTGCATTTTATACCAAACATCCTCTGCAACCCTAAAAATGTGAGAAAGCAGAGTGAATTCACTTTAAAGAAACTGGGGAATTCAAAGTGCCATGCAAGGGTTAAAATGTAACTGATGTCCTCACTGAACTGCTGAGTAGGGATGAGCAGATCAACTCCAGGTTTTGTTTTCTTATTCATGGATCTGGGAGATGAAAGCAATCATCAGCCTGATAGCCCATCTTTGTGAATGTTTCCTAATGTTTTCCCCAGTTCGATGGTAAATGTGGAAGGCAGTGCTGCTTCCCTGTATCCTTTGGGATACTACTTCATAAGCTAATAATTATCTTACAAATCCATGATGCAACTAGCTTTTACCTCTTTCACTGTGGGAAACCATATCCCCTCCAGCAGTATCCCTTTCCTTTTGTCACCTGTGCCCTCTCCATATGTTCTTTTCAACCAGTTTCTTATGTCTTCAATCTAATTTCAAATTACGGCTCCATGATGGGAGGCAGGGGCTTGCCTTACCCACTCCCTGCCTGTGAAATACCAGGCTCCCCCTCCTCATTACAGAAAGACTAGATTTCTTTAGTGAGCTCAGACAAGACACAAGTTAATCTATCAGACTGATAGAAATGCAAGCAGATATAATACTGTGAACTTACTTTATTTCTAATTATGCAAATCATCATGTAAAATAGGCAAATGCATCATTTCCCCCCCCAGGCTCCTGGCACTTCCCTGCTAAGCTTTAGGGAGTGCAAATTTTGATGTTCTTAGCTCAATAGCCTGCCTGATCATGTAAGTCTATATGTAAGTATGCTTCAAAATGATGAGGTTAGAAGTGTCATGGAGGTTATTCACCAAATGTAACTGGGACAAACCTCACAGATGAGGCAGTGGCACTGGGGCGCTAGTGACAGCACTGGTTAGCAGGGCAGCTAGTGAGGCCCATCAAGTTTCTGGTGGAAGGAGAAGGGGGAAGTGATAGTCTTTGTTCTTCTGAGCGAATGAAAAGAGGATTGGAAGCCTTGCAATAGGTAATGTGAAAATACTCACCCTCAGGCGCCCAAAATAAATGGTGGGGTGGGGAGGGGGTGTTTTGTTTTGATTTCCCTCCCCCCATGGGAAGAGTTTTCTATCAGATGGGATAGGAAACAAGGGAAAATATATTGGCCCAATTTAAGGAGGCTTTAAAACAGCAGGAAAAGACATCATGTAGAAATGCTGCTCCTCACTCTGACTTAGCTTGGAAGTTGAACTGGATTTATTTTTAAGTGTGTATAAAGACAGATAATTGTTTGTTCCTAACAATTCCTCCCTGGGAAGCCAGGACTTTGCTTGCGAGGGTTTCTTGCTGACAAGCCATGCAGATACTTAGAACACTGGTGGTTAGGAGACTTCTAGAGAAAACCTTTTCAACTGCTGTGTGGTTGCAATAGACAACTTCTCTGATGCTGCCAAGTCCTGCAAGCACGTTTGTTCTGGGTGGCTGATAACCTGGCTAAGTGTGCCTGATGAGAATCCCTCATTTCCCTACTGCGGGGAAATCTAAGTCATTTTGCAGGCTAACGCCTGTGAATTTAGATTGAGGTAAAAACAGGAGACAGCACAAGTTTGCTGCCTTTTGAAGCATTGGCTGATGGTGCTTATGGAGTTTCTGGATGCTTTGGGATACCCAGCATTTTGGGGTTCTTTGTAATTACCCCCTGAAAGCTGTCAGGATGTCCTAGACTGACTTAGGAGCCTGGGATTGTCTTAGGTGACAATATGCTGTTTTGAGCCTGCCACTGCCTCTCTCGGTGATTGTATCCCATCTACCAGTGGGTCTAAATAGGAAAAAAAACCCTTTTGGTATTTGGTAACATGCCCAAGAGAATTTCTTTCTCCATCTTAGTAAATCCTGTTGCACATTCCTGCCATCTGGGATGGCCTAGCAGCACCATTACATGTGATGTTTACTCTCTTTGCATTTCCTTAAGAAACAATCGGGGATACAGCTCTTCTTCCTTCTTCCTTTCTGCCTAATCTTCCACTTCTTTCTTTTTTCCTTTGCTTCACTCCAATTATACATTATGTTCCTGATTAATGGAGTCACACAACTTTTATAGCACATACCAGAGCTCCCAGTCATCTCTTGTTTGTACCATGGTTTGGATGAATGACTCTAACAAATGGGACCAGTAGGAAACAGGGAGAACTACTGATGCCATCTGCCCTGTCTTGTAAATAAATACCCAAAGTCTTGCCATTTGATTTGACATTCCTTACTCTGAATAGTTTCTGTCACTGTCTCCCTATTGCTCAAAGATAGTTTCTTGCAATACAATTTTACTAGCTCTGCACACTTGTCTCTTTGCATGCAGAAAGCAGAACTAGCAATGCATGGGCCAGAAAGTTTGCAGTTGCTTTACTTTCTCTGCATTGTCATTGCCTGCCAGTGAAACATCTCCTTTCATCCAGTGCTTTCCATAGTGAATATCATGAAATGCTTTGTAGATGAAGTCAGCCATGTAAGCCAAAGTGAAAAATAGAGGCTTTAAGGTTATTATAACAGGTGACTCAACAGCTCACGGAGTGTTACAGAAAGATGGCATGGAAAGGAAAAAAAGGAAAAGACTGGAAAGAATGTATTTTTTGAAGGTTACTAACAGCCAAGGAACAAACAACAGAGTAGACAAGTTTGTGTAACTTTTTACCATGGGAGGGTATTTAGGGGAAGAGTATCTCAAAAACCTGCTTAGTCACTAGGTGCAGAAAAGTAAGGAATTTAGATAAGAAGCCTTAACAAACAAAAACCCTGAAGTTCCTCTAAGGCACACTCAAATAGCTATAACTGAGAATAAAGACAAGACTTAGGTTTTTGTTCTAGAAGTAACTGCTGCAGCCACGAGCAGCTAGTCCTGCTCATACATATTTTGGAGAGCACAGTATTATTTTTAAAAACATGTCCACTTTTAGAGGAGTACATTTATTTTGGTAAGCTCGCTTCTGTCAACTTCTCTCAACAAATGTAACAAAAGCTGCAGCTCCATGGTCTAACTGGCATGAAGACACATTGTTCATGAGCAGGAGAGGATATGGGAAACATTTGTCCAACAATTGCTGCTGTGGTTCCCTGAGCCAAACTCTGCTCTCTTGAACTGCCCTGGAGGATGTACAGATTGGTGTATTTGCTTAGCTGCTAATAGGAGTACAGTCCCAAGGAGCAAAACTAAGAATTTGAATAGTATGGTTCAGGGGATGTCTATCCTCAAAGGGAGGGATGGGGTATATTGAATAATATTTGGCCCATGCCTTTCTTTGACCACAGGCTCTGGTAGTCCAATGTGAAGGAAAAGCAGGCCTTGTTGCAGGCTTTTGTTGAGCACATACTTTCTCTGTGCATGTTCCAGAAGCTGGATGGTTCCACCAACCCTTACTTCAGTGGTGCACCTGAAAACACAGCTATGCTGCAAAACCCACACTTCTGTCTTTAGCAAATGTACGCTGGCCTAGATCTGTTCAGCATCACCCAGCAGTTGGTAGCAGCCCTCTCCCAACCTCTGCCATTTTCCTCTCTTGTAAACAGGCTGGGTGCTTCCACAGAGGAACTGCTGCTTTTTTTTTACAGTCTTTTTCGAGTGTCTTAACGGGTTGCAGCAGTGCAGATGGGGATTTAAAATCTCTCCTTTCTGCTTAGGTAACACTGGACGTTTCAAAAAAAGCTGCCTTCCCCCAGCTAAAGCTTAGATCTGCATGAATAAAGCGTTTATTCTGCCAGCAGAAAGCAACGGTCATGCTGCGATAACAAATCAAACCCCCCACGCTGGGGGAGGCGATGGCGCGCAGGCATGCAACGCAATCCCGACAGCGAAATCGGCTCCTTCTTGCAAACGCACCCGGGCGCTGGGGCTTTTTTTATTTTCCTTTTTATTTTTTCCCCATTCTTTTTCAATAACCGCGGGCACAGGCAGCTGTTTGCGTTTTCAAAGCCCGCTCAGAAAGCAGCCAGTTAATTTTAGTTTGCTCGGGCCACCCTGAGCGAGCTGGCTAGGTCCCCCCTCCCTTCCCTTCCCGGCTCTGCCCTGCAGCACGGGGAGGGGGGGTTGAATGGGGGCCCGAGGGGCCCCGGGGCAGCTCCTCCTCCCTCCCCCGCCCCGCCCCGCCGGGAATGGGAAAAAGTTGGGAACAACTTTTCCCCCCCTTCGAAGGCTCGGGCTTCTCCTCCCTAACCTTCCCCCCGCACGCTAGCCCCGCCCCCTGCGCTGCGATTGGCGGGCGGGCACGGCGAGGCCCCGCCCCCGGCGTGCTTTGTGAATGGGGCCGGGGGCAGGGGCGGGGCCCCGCGGCGCGCCCGCACGTATATGTGTCTTTTTTTTGTGCCGGCGCGGCCGAAGCTGAGCGGAGCCAAGCGGGAGAGAGCACGGCCGGCCCGGACGCACAGCCCGCAGCGGCACCCATCGGGAGCGGAGCCCAGCCGAGCCGCGGGGAGGATCGCGCCGTAATTGGATTTTAAAAGTTACTTAAGCCCCGCAGTAAAATACACGGCTCAGCCGGGCGCGGTAATAATCCGGTTAGCCGTAATCTAAATCCCCGGGGCCGCGAAGCCGAGCAGGGAGCAGCGCCTCAGCCTCGCCGTCCTCACCGCGGGACCCTCCGGAGCTGGTCAGAACCGTCGCCGGGCTTAGCGCGCGTCTCTCGGTCGCCTTCACCAGCGGGAGCAGCTCCGAAAACTTTCTCCGAGGGACGCTCCGGCGCGCTGCGAAGAGTCGACCCACCGGAGCCCAGCAACAAAGTCGCGGAGGTGCGGCGCGGAGCCGCGCTCCTCTCGCCGCTGCGGAAGGGGCCCCGCCGCCGCCCTCCGGACGCTGATGCCCGTGGGGTGCCGCGTCGCCCTGCTCTGAAGGACTCCCCGCGGTTCCCCGGGCCATCGGCCGCCCAGGCGATGCGGACTGGAGTAGGCGGCGGAGCGGCAGCCGCCGGCTGCCCTTTTCTGGGGCTGGCCGCGCTGCTGGCCGCCCTGCTGTGGACCCCTGCAAGGGCGGCGGCGCAACAGTACCACGGCGAGAAGGGCATCTCCGTGCCGGACCACGGCTTCTGTCAACCCATCTCCATCCCGCTCTGCACGGATATCGCCTACAACCAGACCATCCTGCCCAACTTGCTGGGCCACACCAACCAGGAGGACGCGGGGTTGGAGGTGCACCAGTTCTACCCGCTGGTCAAGGTGCAGTGCTCGGCCGAGCTCAAGTTTTTTCTCTGCTCCATGTACGCGCCGGTGTGCACCGTGCTGGAACAGGCCATCCCGCCCTGCCGCTCTCTGTGCGAGCGGGCCCGCCAGGGGTGCGAGGCCCTCATGAACAAATTCGGCTTCCAGTGGCCAGAACGGCTCCGCTGCGAGAACTTCCCCGTCCACGGCGCGGGTGAGATCTGCGTGGGGCAGAACACGTCGGACGCGCCGCCGGGGTCTGGCGGTGCGGCGGGTCGGGGGGCCACTGCCAACCCCACGGCTGGCTACCTTCCCGACTTCCTCACCCCGCCACAGCCCCCCTCCGGCTTCTCCTTCTCCTGCCCACGGCAGCTCAAAGTGCCCTCTTACTTAGGCTACCGGTTCCTGGGGGAGCGGGACTGCGGGGCCCCCTGTGAGCCGGCCCGGCCCAACGGGCTCATGTACTTCAAGGAGGCAGAGGTGCGATTTGCCCGACTGTGGGTGGGTGTGTGGTCTGTGCTCTGCTGCGCCTCCACCCTCTTCACCGTGCTCACCTACCTGGTGGACATGCGCCGTTTCAGCTACCCGGAGCGGCCCATCATCTTCCTCTCAGGCTGCTACTTCATGGTAGCCGTGGCCTATGCGGCAGGCTTCTTGCTGGAGGAACGGGTGGTGTGTCTGGAGCGCTTCTCTGAGGACGGCTACCGCACTGTGGCCCAAGGTACCAAGAAAGAAGGCTGCACCATCCTCTTCATGATCCTCTACTTCTTTGGCATGGCCAGCTCCATCTGGTGGGTCATCCTGTCTCTCACCTGGTTCCTGGCTGCTGGCATGAAATGGGGCCACGAGGCCATTGAGGCCAACTCCCAGTATTTCCATCTGGCTGCCTGGGCTGTGCCTGCTGTCAAAACCATCACCATCTTGGCCATGGGGCAGGTGGATGGGGATGTCCTCAGTGGAGTGTGTTATGTAGGTATCTACAGCGTGGACTCGCTGCGGGGCTTTGTGCTGGCGCCCTTGTTTGTGTACCTCTTCATTGGCACTTCCTTCTTGCTTGCTGGCTTTGTGTCCTTGTTTCGCATCCGCACCATCATGAAGCATGATGGCACCAAGACAGAGAAACTGGAGAAGCTGATGGTGCGCATTGGTGTCTTCAGTGTCCTGTACACTGTGCCTGCCACCATTGTCCTGGCATGTTACTTTTATGAGCAGGCTTTCCGTGGCACTTGGGAGAAGACATGGCTCCTCCAGACCTGCAAAAGCTATGCTGTGCCCTGTCCCAGCCATTTTGCCCCTATGAGCCCAGACTTCACGGTCTTCATGATCAAGTACCTCATGACCATGATTGTTGGGATCACGACTGGCTTCTGGATCTGGTCTGGCAAAACCCTTCAGTCCTGGCGGCGCTTCTACCACAGACTCAGTACTGGCAGCAAAGGCGAGACGGCAGTATGAGACCCCCCCAATCCCCTCACACACGCATGCACAGACGCAGAGGAGGCGGCAATGGCTCCCTGAAGAGGGAGGAAGGGAGGCTTGTCCAAACTTTTTCTTCCTCCCAGAGGGTTTGAAACAAACAAAATTCTTTGCAGAAAGGCTCAGATGGACTGTGTCCAGTGGTGCTTATGCCCAGCTAAATGGAAGAGCACAGAAAAAGAGGCCACTGGTACGAGGGGAGAGTCCTTCATGTGCAAGAAGTCCCCTTATGTCACTCTTGTGCTACCCCTGTGCAGGGGAAAAAAACAAACCTTACTTAGAACATCCTTGGACATGTGGGAGGGGAAGCCAGATTCGTTGAGCTGCCCCTGTCGAGAAGTAGCCAAACCCTCTCTGAATTGCTGGGGTCAAACTGCGGTGTGGGCCGGGTAACCCTGGCCCGAGCCAGAGCTTGCTGCCTGCTTGGCTCCTTCCAGCTCGGCGGAGCCACCACGTGAGTACCGCACAGCCTGCTACGGCCCGGTGGGGTGCCTCTGCTCTGTCAGTTCCTTTTACCTCAGTTATACCTCTTGTAATTGTTTTAAAGTGAAAATTCGGCCCTCGGTCCGTTGTTCTTGCTGCTGTGGGGAAGGAGGGGGTTGCTATTCCACACCCTGAAAAGAAATGACTTGTTGCTTTTCAGCAGAAGGCTTTTCCCCCTTGCCTTTGTTCTAGGAGACAAAGGGGGAAACAAAAGTGTTTTCTATGTAGAAAGGCATAAGGATGGGATCGTTTTTTATGGGCAAACTAACAAAAAGAAGTCGTTGAGGTTCACCCTTGGATGTGAGAAGCTCGCAGAAATAAACATTCCCTTTATGAAAAAAGGAGGCGGCAGGATGTTTTCCTGCCGTTCAATGTGGGTCTCTTTCTAAGCTGAAGGAAACACAAGACTTGGAGGGCAAGAAGAGTGTAACCAAGAGCACCTGCCAAAACAAGAGCCATTAAAATATGTAACATAAAGATACCGGTTTGCTCTTTCCTTCCCATAAACCTGCTTTCTCTCCCGCTTTGCAGCGGGCTCGCTGCAGGTAAAGTCAACACTCGGATGGCTTCCGGGGACGGGAGGAACAGTTTTGGCTCACGATGGACCCTGTGCCTGCTCCTCGGGTTCCCTGAGCTGCGCGGCTGTGACTCCTGGCACAGGAGGGGGCTGAGGTTTAGAAACAAGCAGTTGCTGCGAGTGAGGAGCCTTCTAATTTCAGCTAAAATACAGCTGGTTCAGTTTCCAGTGCTCACCTCTTGGAAGGAAAGACATTCAAAAATCAACCATCGGATGCTTCATTTTCTTTTTGAAATGTGACAGATTTTTTTCTATTCTGAAATTTTTATGTTGCCTTGCTCCTATTTTATTTTTTGCATACTCCTTTCACCTTTATATTCACTGAAGGGTTGTTTTTATAAGTATATGTTTGTGTGTGTATATTCTTGCCTAAGGACAAAATAGGACATTCTGGATTTTTAGCAAGTCTCTGCCCTATAGCTGCTCTTCATTTCTTTTTTTTTTTTTTTTTTGGGGGGGGGGGGGGGGGTGTGGAAGTGTCTGGAATGAAATTTAAAAGAGAAAGCCTGTTCAGGGTGAGGGGCAGACTGCTGCTGTCTGAGGGCATACCAGTAGTCTGGGCATGAGGAATGGGCCCATCAGCCAAATCCTTTGGTAGATCTGATTTCAGACTTGCAGAGCTCGGGTTTTTGTCTTTTATCATGTGCACGTGGAAGAAAAACATGTGTAAGACAAGTGCAGTATGTACATTTTGTAAATCTCATTTTTGTAAGAAAATATGTATTTATGTTTTTACTTGATTTTTTTTTTTTTGGAAGGTCTGTATGAGGCCCTGCTTCATCCCGTGTACAGATCACTAAATAAATAATTTTTAATACAAGGGCTCTGATGAAGTTCTTTACATCTTTGACCACTCAGCAGGTTATAGATGAGGGGAAGGGGGGCAGCTCTGTGAGTGGGAGACGCAAGAGACTTTTGGGTGAATGCACTGAGCAGAGGCTGTGATTAGCAACTGGCCCCTCACAGCAGGAGACTGCATTTTTCGACCATTTCAAATGTTTGCCCTTGCTTGAGATACTTGCATCCTTACCAAGTTTTCCTTCCAGGCTCTACCACTTGCTGAATGTGAGCTGATAAACCAGTTTCCTTATCTGGAAAATAAGGATAATGCTCTCTTCCCATTCCAAAAGGACTGAGAATGAGAACCAGAGGGTGCTATAAGTGCTGTAAATTAAATCCTCATTTTGATGGGTGGGGTGTTTTAGTGAAACACTCAGGAGTTAGGTCCTTTTCAATAGCTTTCAAATGGCATGGTTTTGAACTGGCTATTTTCTTCCCCAGCACCTTTGCTATCTCAAATTTTGTTCAGGTGAATTTTACTTTAATCTTAATAGCTTCCCTGAAGCTATTATCACAGTCATCTGAAAGCTGATAGCTTCAACGGAATGGTCTATTTTAGTTCAGTTTTGGTTTGTTTTGGGTTTTTTTGTTTGTTTGTTTTGGGGTTTTTTTGTTTTTTGTTTTTTAACTGAAATGAATGTTTAGATCTCAAGCTGTGTTGCTACAATCATGGAATGTGCCCCAGCAAACATAATTTTACACTTATTAAAGGATGGCAGTTTCCAGCTTTTCTCTCACAATGATTTCAGCCTAGTTATTGGGTTCATCACCCTTCCTTTGCCTTAAACAATGCCTATACTAAAATTTAAGTTACAGAACAGAGATGTAGCTAAATGCCATCATGGCAGCTGTGGTTGCACTGCAATATTGTGTCATTTATTGAGCACAATGTGCAATAGTTGCACTTCCAGGGCACTATTTTATTTGGATCCTGCTGTCAAACACAACCTTTCACATTGACAGCACACGAGCTCCTGATTCAAGTTCTTTTCAGAGCTAGCACCATTCATGCTGACTCTAGAAAAGCCACATCTTTTATTTGAAAACACCTCTCCTTGCTCCCTGGAATCACTTGTCAAGTTTTTTTTCCTGAAAAGGCCTTTGCTTTCCTGCAAGTCAGGCTGCTTCAAACTGCTCCATGACATGCGCATGCTGATCATTGCTATGGGGGGTTTCATTCCACTCACTTAGGAAACCTGAACCTTTTTATAAACATTTCCTCCCATTAATCCATCAGTGCTGGCTGGAGCGATGGAATGGCTGGAACAGCTCGCGCTCTGAAGGACTGGGAACCGATGGGAGCAGCAGTGTGACAGACACCCCTGTACTGGGCAGCCACACCTGCATTGCTAAACATGCAATTAATACATCATGGACAGCTAAGCCCACAGTTCACGCAAGCAGCTTGTCCCGCTGCTCTTCTCTCCACTCAGCACCCATCCCTGCTAGCTGGATGAGAAGCTGCATTTAGGAGTGATCACTACCCTTTTGTGCATACGTGGAAAAAATTAGACTTCTTTTAGTTCATGAGACATTCATATCTGAAAGGAAATGTCTCTGTTTCCACCAGAAACAACTAAAGCTGAATGCTTTTATTTCAGTATTTCCTATTAGGTACTTCTGGATTTCAAGTCACTTATGCAAAACTATCAAAACCCTGGGATTTGAGTTGGGTTTTCAAATTTGAGATTGGAGGTGAAATTTGATGCTGCTGCTGCTGTGAAGTAGAAGCAACTGCTACTCACTTTTAAGCAGATGTGACTTGCATTGAATTTGCTCACAGTGGAAACAATTTGGAGAATTTCAAGTAGTGATAGCGTCTGGCCTTCTGGAATAAAAATCTCTATCACCATTATGATAACAAAGTGGTAGTTAAGTCTCAGAATGGAGCACAACTGAAAAAATCTCTTTGTGAAGCTGACTGGAGAAAAAGGAGGGAAAATAACCCTGTACTAACCTTTGCTAACCACTGCAAAACAATTTTGTTTTCACTGATGTTTAAGTCCACTTTCAGTTAACAGATTTTTAAGTTTAAGAAAAGTTTCCTGCCCTTCACCTTTGGCTCTTGTCTATGCAGCATTTTTAGTTTACAAAATACTGGCAAGTAATAGTTATCATTCATCAAGATCTTTTACAAGATACTGGCAAGTAATAGTTATCATTCATCAAGACCTTCCTATGTTTACACCATATACTACGTTTTTAGGAGAAACACATACACTGATTCTTCAGTTTCAGAGACATTTATGTTACTTTCTAGAAGAAAGTAATATTATTTCAGGCAAGCTAAACAGGAAGCTTTAACAGTTCTAGAGTTCACCAACAGCAGCAACTGAAGGTTTACCTCCACAGAAGAAAGTGCTTTTATAATACATCAGTGTTTGTTTGGGTTTATTTTTGGTGGAATACCCACACCAGCGATTGAATGTTTTTGTCTACGTACTTCACCCACAACCAATAGCTTTGCATGCAAGTAAAAACCACACATCTCTGTGTTCACCAGCTGGCAACAGTAAACATTACTTATAATTTCACATGGGTTTAGAAACCAAGTTGCTAGCTTGGATCTTAAATAGTCTTTTGTTTTTTCTGCATCTCAGTCTCACTTCCTTCCAGACCTTACAGGTACTGTGCATACACCCTGCTCTCCATACATGCTTTCTATTCCTGCTGATTTTTATAGCCATGAATCCAGCTGAAAGAAATTTAGTCTGTTGCTTGGAAAGGAAGAGACAGCTCTGAATCTTCAGCATTGTTCATGACTATTCACTGACATAGACTATTGCCAAGTCTATATAAACTGGGGTAATTGTTTCATGCCAACATGAGCGTGTGGTTTTGGCAGCTACACCACTGCACAGGAAAACACAGGATTGGGAGAATAAATATAGCACATGGCAAGTTCCCAAATGCCCCACGTAGAACCAACACATTTTGAGTAAAATGATGCCCAAACGTAAAACTGAAATATGTCCATCAAGAGTTTAACACTGCTCAGACAACTAGTTTGCACCACTGTGAGACGAGAATGTGGGGAGGGTTTTGACGCTGTTTAAACCCAAGGTCGAAGGTTGCCTGGCTCAGGTGGCTGGGCACTGCTTGTCTCAAAACCAGACCAGTGGAAGTAAAGCACAGCACCTTCTCCTAATCTAGGTAAAGACTGGGTTCAAGCACAGCCTTACCACAGCAGCAGCCAGATAGGATTTGATCGAATGATGCACAATGAGGGCAGGCCCAAACAGGGTCATGAGTGCATATTCCTCTACATTGCTTGCTTCTCTCTGTATAGCCGACCTAACCATGCCAGGAAACTATGGGACTGGGATAAATGGGAATATGGATAAAAAGCAGAAATAAGCAGGGCCTAGAGCACATTTTTAAATAACAATTGTAAATTGGGGGATCACTTAACCATATTAGTCAGGAAATCCTGCTAGCAACAACTTGTCAATTTTGGCTTCCCCAGCTGTGCCAAACTCAGGTTCGTTATATGCAAAGCTTTGCTTAAGCATGTTACTCTTACAAATATACAGGGGAAACCAGTGTGTGCCACTCAGAGGAGTAGTCTATATGAGTAGGCTTTGGCTGCACAGGTCTTGGAAATTAACCCCATTGTGTGGCCACCAATGTAGCCATACCCTTGCTATTAAGAGTAGGATCTCACAGGCCAGGATGACAATTAGAAAGACAAAAAGAAAAAAAGAGGTCCAGTTCTCCTCTACCTCCAGCTTTACTGGAGGCACTGGGAATTCCAGCACTGTTCTCAAACCAATCTGCAGGAAGGCAATGCCATTCTCAGGACAGGCAAGAAGTAAGATTATTCCCAGCGTGATGTTCTTCTCCTCAGGCTAATACAACGGAGGGCTGGAGAACAAACTTGTGGTGGATGGGGAATTCTGTCAGGAGCTGTAGCAGGAGAAAAATATGTTATCTGGCTCAGATGGACACAAAGGTTGTTCTAGCAAGTAGACACTAATCTAGGATTTGGAAGACAAGTGCTTGATTACCTGCACTGTTGCAGATGGTGGACAGATCACTTACAGCCAGACTTTCAGCAGTATTCAAATGCAGGCAGGTACATGGAAAGCACGTTCGTAAGTGCTTAAATTCCCAGACACATGTCCTGATAATTGACTAAAAAATCCCATCTCTGTTTCTAATTCCTTGTCAATAAAATTGGAAGAGTGGCACTTCCCTATATTATAGGAATGTTGTGAGAATAAATACTCTCAAAATCAGAAGAAAGTAAATACAACAATAACAGGGTTTGTACCAATATCTCTGTCAGATGTTTGTTCCATAGTATGTTGGGGGGCTCCCTCCCCGTGGCAGGGGGTTGAAACTAGATGATCTTAAGGTTCCTTCCAACCCAAACCATTCTATGATTCTATGATGTTATGTTTTGCAAGTAGGTCCCATTCTGGAGCATGCCACATTAAGAACACCAGCTAGAATAAATTATTTGTATGTTTTCCAATAGCTTATCTAAAACCAGGCAGACCTTGGCACATACTTTCACAGGAGTATCACTCTAGTCAGGGCTCTAATCTAAAGTGTGAGAAGGTATAAAGACACAAGTTAGGTAATTAGAAAATTACACTGAACTGGGCATGCATGAAAATCAACAGCTGTCAACTGCAGTCAAACAGAATGGACTTGTGTTATATTGGTGCTTAGGTACAGCAGAGATAAAGGGCTGGGCCCATTTGTGCTGGTGCTATAGTGTGCTTAGCTCTTGCAGTACTACTCAGTCTCTCATTTTCTATGTGTTATAAACAAGATTATTATCAACAGGCTCCATAACACCTCTGCTGATCCTCTTTAAATCATTTCAGCTCACTTGAGCTTGCTGCAAGCAGGGTCTAAATAATAATAGCAGGCCTAAGGCAGTTACCCGAGGTTTCATCCAAGTCCTTAGCAGTGAAAAGCCACCTTCCCTGCTATGTTTTCACTTCATCTCTTAGTTCTTCAACAGTATTTTTCTGTTACCATGACCTCCAACAACATTTTTCTCTTTACTAAAGATGGCCAAGTAGAAGGATTTGTTGGCTGTTTGGACATTTTCCTGCCTCAACAACAGGGAACAGCATGAGACTACTATACTTCTTTCACCAATAAAATATGGAGGCATCTAAGCTGACTGGGGCAATCGTTTGTATGTTGCCAGCCTTTCCTGTGGGAGACATCTGCACCCGTTCACCTTCACCACACATCAGGTTTTCATTGCTAAATAAAGTAAACCAACAAACCAAAAAGAATTCCTAAATGCATCAAAGCATGCTCTAAGTTATAGCAGCCCCTCCGCAAACAAACAAAAACGTAACTTATGGAAGACAGTCCAAAGGAGCTACTTCCAAAAATATTTACCTAAAGCACAAATCAGATCAGTCGCCTGACATGGCTTCCTTCCACAAATATTCCATATGTGTATGCGTGTGTGTGCATATAATGTGAGGGCATGCTAGTGTAACAGCTACAAGTTACATCTACAGGTAAATCTCTCATGAAAAACCAAGTGAAGAGAGAAAATCAAGAGGCCCTTGCTCAGTGCAACTCTCTGCTAATTAAACACTGGTGTTAATTGCAGTAATGTGCCTGGACCCTGTTCCCTGTGTTTGTTGTGGAGCCTGCACGAGCTCTGTATTGCTCAGAACTTCCACATTCCCACACAAAATGAAACCATCTATAAAAGGAATGAAAGGCTGTGATATGTATATATATCTATAGGGCTATTTTTAAAGAAAAGATTTTTTTGTGTGTGCTAGTTCAAAGCCAGCTTTGATTATCTAAAGGAAAAGTCAGTCTTTAAAAAGGGTCAAAAAATAAATGTAAAGATGGAATCTTTTTTTATTTAATCCATGATGAAAAGAGCATTTCCTATTTGCAATGCTCCTGCTTCTCAATTTTTAGATTATCTTATTTTAGTTTATCTTTAATTAAGGTCGAAATGTAAAAGTTTCAGGCAGCATTTCCCGTCCTTCCTTTACGAAATGTGCAAAGCAGCATTCCATTAGGGCCAACAGCCAGTAAAAGGGATGTCATTTGACACCCTTATACAACTATGCATACCAGGCTGGAACGGAGAGAGCGGGATTATGTGAGTGGATAGAAAGCCCTTCTAGAGAGAGGATTTACTCACACTGTTTTTCTTTACACATTCTGCTCACTGAAGATAGTAAATCAGCTATTGGACTTGCAGAAACAACTCTCATGATGGCTAAAGAATTTAGGCACAAAGTAGATGAAGGCAAAGATCTGGCCTCTCTACAGCAGCTCATAGCAACCATGGGAAGAGACCAAACAGCGCCCACGTCCCCAGGGGCTAAACAGTGCCTATGCCTGGACCGTATTTTCCTCTTCTAAGGCATGGATAAGAGGTGGGCTGGGTTTCCAGAGCCCAGGCCAAATCCCACATTAACCTTCTGCTTTTATGGCAGGCTAAACCGAAGCCCTGGATCTGCATGTTCTAAAATGCCAAAGACCGTACTTTACAGTTGCTGTAAGGCAGAAACTGTCTTTTCTGGTAAGAAATCCCTTATCTGCAAAGATTAATTAACTGGTGAATAGTTTTGCTTTGTTGTGAAGGCACAGAGCTCTGTATCACTGCCCACAGACAGGGATTTCGCTTTCTACCTTTGAGATTCCTTCAGGTTTTTGCCATTTGACTAACAGAGTTGACATCAACTAACAGTGCTAACATTTTAACTCCATGTCTCGCATTTTCCTCAAGTAAAGATCTTACAGCACAGAATTCTGAATCAAATCTTAATTGAAACCTCTAAGCAGAAGAACTGAAAGTAAATGTTTCTCAGAAAACAATCTCAAGAGACACAGCAATTTCACTTGAATGACTCCTCCATTTTGCTATTGATTTTCATTAAAACTAACTTTATTAACAACATGTCCTCTGGTCAACATGTCACCCCTGCCCTCAATACATTACTTGAACACAGACATTAAAGGAGTTACATACACAGAAACAAGCCTGCGAAGGACTGTGTCATGATAACAGTTATTTTCACAAGTTCCATCCCTCAGCATTACTCCTGACCACATCTTATTTAGCTGGTGAAGTTCTTCGTAGCAATACCAGCCCATTTTATTTGTCCTTAAATGCAATTCTTCAGACAATGACATTTTTATTGGTAAATGAGAAACTGTGTGTGCCAGCAGAAAGGGGTCTGACTCAGACAGAGCTGACTAGGGGTCAAGAGACTGTCATACTGTTCCCAAACTTGCCCATGGTCTGCAAATCCTTCCAATCATCCTTATCTCCATTTCTGTTTTGGCCATTCTCTAAATAGGATCATGCTTTTTGTGACAAAAAATGTCTCTATTATCCCCACGTATGTGGTGGTACTGTTCCCATCCTGCTGGAGCCCTGATCTTGACAGGGGCCTCTCAAATTTGGCACAATGCAAGAGGTTCCAATTAAAAATAATTGATCATTAAGAGGCAGAGAATGGTAAAGAGTGAGCTGGCGCTTTACTTTCTGTCGGGAAATAGTCAAACACTAGTGGCAAAGTAGAGACATGTGTGATGACACCAAATCTTCCCAAAGAAATGAAAGTGGGAAGTGTCACTCATCACCTTTTGGGCTTTTGTGTAACACGCATAAGGAATGTTCCCGTCTCTGAAGAGTCTCTGTGGACTCTTCAGATGATGGGATTTAGTGTCACATGCCCTCTTCTGCCTGTCTTTTTTTGGTTGTTGTACAAAGCGTTGCCATGTGGGGTCTGTGTGATAGCACACACTGCAAAGTACCTCCAGCTGAGTGGGATCAGTGCTGGCCAGTTGGATTGTCAGCTGGCTGACTAGTCCCTAAAAATGAAAACCAGACACTGAGGAAACTATCTTGTTCATAAAAGGAAAATATTTATCTGCAATGAAAAAAAACAGCCCCCACCCCAGAAGTAACTGGCTGGGTATTTCATTAAATGATCACTATTGAAGTGATTAAATAATTAGGCAGCAGCGCAAGGAGGAAGCCCACTACTTCCCCCACACCTCCAAAATATGGATTTGAATTAAGCAAAATAATTTTCCAGTTTACTCTGAACTGCTTCAGTTGGAGAAAAAAACAAAAGGGAAAAAGTCTGAATGTTTTGTTTAAATTCTTCTTAAATGAAGCAACTCTAAGTTTGAATTTGAAATGCACCCAAAAAGAGTGAAAAACGTTAAGCAACCTTATAAGGTTCAGCTGGAATTAAGGGGCAGACTAAGGGATGGACCAAGGCTAAGACTGACAGGTGAAGGCAGGAAGCTGAGCTTTTGGAACCATGGGCAGTTTAAGAGAGATGCGAAAGTCAGTTTGGCCTACAGCTTGCCTCATACCACCGGGAAAGAACCTACTTCACCTGCACCATGTAGACCTGGTAATAAAGGAAATAAGGCACCAGATAGAACATTTTGCTTAATAAGATTAGAAATGGCATATAGGGAAAAGTATTTGTAGAGAGCAGAGAAAGAAAGGAGCAATAAAAATAACTGAGACCAAGACAGAAGAGGTATATGGGCATAGCCACAGCTACACATACATTTGCCTTTCTTGGGTTTCAGGCTGGCCAGAAGGAAAACAACTCCAGTGCAACAGCATGCTTCAGTGCCTGCTCAGCCCAGCACTCATGCTAACTGTGCCTGCCTGCTGGCTAATGCCATGGGCTGGTTTGCAGACTGGTCTGGCTACAAGCCAGCTATCCTAGGGCCTGTGCAAGGTGAATGCATGACTGCTTGCCCCAGTCCAGACAGGTGTTACTCTGAGATCCCTCACACTGCCTTATTAACAGGACATACATAGCAAAGTACTGCCTCTGTCCAGTAAGTGTTATGAAATGCCCAGGCTGCAAAGTAGCACTCAGTCATACATAGCTGCAGTAGAATCTCCAGCCTATGCTGACTGTAAACTGCTGTGATCAATGTGATCACATATTATATTCCTCCCATAAACTTTCAAAGGTACGAATTTTGCTGACAAAGAAATTCATGAAGGTTGCTGGGAGCATGGAGTGCCTTTCTAGAATGTCAGTCCTAGCTATTCCCTTGGAAACCAGTAAACAAAGAGTTAAGGTATGAGCAAACACAACCTTAACTGTGCTGTTTGAGCAATGCCCCAATATGGCCATAACACACTGAGCCTGTGCTATCTCAAAGGCAGAGTGCAAACGTTTGGGGAATAGGGCACATGACCACAGGACAGTCTGAAGCCTTCTCTTTGTAAGGGAAGTTGGTCTGTGGGGAGGCTGTCAGGGACTGGGTGCAGTGGTGGGCTGACACTCACTTTGTCCAAGAGACAGCTGGTCTCTTCCTCAGGACTAACACATAGTCACTTTACAATGCTTGTCCTCACAGAATACTGCAGGACATCGCTCCACCTTCCAGCACTGAGCCCACTCACCATCCTGCCAGCACCTTTGTGCATTTCTGGCAGTGCCCTGGGGAGGAAGAGCTCTAGGTGCTGCTATTATCACAATTCACAAAGTCAACACCAAAAGGAGCCACACTACTGATACTGAAGCACCCACATGAACAGAGGAGGCAGGGAAAGAGGCAAGCCATCTTCCAGAAGGACAAAGTCTTTCTCATGCCCAGCAGTTTTCTTGTAACACAACCACAAAGCAGCCAAGTACTCCAGCTTCTCCATCTGGAGCAGAACAGCTCCCACAGCTGACCTGCACCCTTGTGAGGGCATGGGGAGGGTTATTCAGGCCTTGCTTTTGAAAAGGTTTGTGGCTTACCACATTTGCCAAGATGGAAAGGTGTAAGATGCTAACAGACAACTTTGCTGCTGTGTCAGTTAAGGCAGGGGTAGAAGAGGAGAGAGTGTGCAATCTCTGCTGTAGCGCTGCCCTGAAATGTGTGGCCATAGAGAACCCTGCTCAAACACTCTTTACCATGGCAGGGGTACACAGAAGTGTTGTGCTGTCCCTCTTCTCCATTTATTTCTCATTCTCTGCTCCCTAGGAAACTGAGAATCACATTAGCATCTCCTTCTTTTTTGTCCTACTTTGAATGCCAAGTAGCTAGCACCCATTATTCGGTGACAATGTCCCATCTTACTGACATGTCTTGAATATGTACATTTTTATACTGCTTTAATAGTGCTATTTTAAACTTTAAAGCCTGTCACTTGTACCCAGGAAAGTCAGATGGAAAATAATGCTATTCTCTTATTTTTCTGGTCTTCACTTCCAAAGCAGCAGTCCCTACAGCAAGCCTCTGTCCTCCTGGTGGTAAGAATATCTGTAGCCAGTCTGCACAGCACTGTCCTGTGACTACAACTGAAGGCAAGTCCTAGTATTGCAATTACAACACATCTGTAGCATGTGAGGGCTTGTTCTGTGATCACTTACAACCCCTCGATTCGGAGTTTTGGCTGAGCAATGAATGCAGTATCAAGTGAGAGATAAACACAGACATTGAAGACTACAAAGCTAAACATTATGGCTGTTCCTACCTTCATATGCACACAATATGTACTAGTGTGTCATGGTACACTAGTACAAGATCAAGAGGTGGACCACAACACTGAGTTTTGAATCCAAACCTCCTCCAGTCCCTGAGGCCCAGAATCCAGTCTCTGAAAACAGGCGCATTCCTACAGTTTGGGCTTTCCCACATTATGTCATCAGGGAGAGAAATTTTCCATTACCATATACAAAGAGACAAAATGCAGAAGCTGTCCTACAGCAAGCTGACAACAGCATCCTCATGCCCCTTAGAAATACTTTCCTGACTCAGGGGTGAGCTGCAGACCATACATGCAATCCCAGGTTCTGGGTGCAAAACTCAGTCAACTGGCTCAGGAAATCAGGCTAAGGCCTGTTCTGCTTGACAAAGAAATGCCCTACAGTAGAGCTGGCTAGTGATAACCAACATGATCTCCCTGCATTTCATGTATAAGAGAAAAAAGGCTAGGGAAGACTGCACAGTGTTGAGTTCTAGAGCTGTCCTTCCTAGTGATAACCATGCATTTTCATCAGAGAATTTGTCACCAGCAAATTAAGAGCTAACAGGATGGAGGGGAAAACGTATTTCTTATTTGTCTCCTCGTGCAGTTAAGAAATCCTCTTAGGTTCAGGTGTAAATGTCCCTTCTCTTGACCTACAAGGTATTTGCCATACTGTCTGTCTCCAGGGTTAAAAATCTCCCTGGCAGTAAGAGCTTCTGTAAACACTCCCACTTTATCTGCAGAGAGTGAGAATCCCAGCAGTACTAGAAAGAGACATAAATGGAAACTGCTAAAAAAAAATCATTTAAAATATGTAGCATATGCTAAGAGTAACAGTGATTTCTGGCAAGAATTAATTAAACTAGATGAAACATTTCTGATACGATTTGTGCTATCAGATCATTTAATTAGTGCTGGCTTTTAGTTCATCTTAACAAGCTTCTGTGAGGGTGAAAAAGAAATAATTGTTTATTCAAATGGCAATAATTTGGGTTTCTTTAATTGATTCCTAGTGTGAAAGCATCGATTCCTGCTGTTTGCTAAAATGCTGGGTGGAAAAGTTCCAGCATGATGTC